AAAAAGATTAGAAATATAATAAAAAATATGCGGGTGCAGAGCACGAAGAAGTCTACAGCCCCCTTTTTTTTATTTTATGTTTTCGTTTTTTTGGGGGGGGTTGTCACTTTGTACGGGACCATTGATTCAGCCATACGACCGGCCGTACGGCTGTACGACCAGAGCCCCGTACGGCGTACGGCGTGTTACATAGCATCATAGGTTCAGGGTGATCTGAGTGAGGGGCCAAGGAAGAGACATCCTCTGCCATAGGAGCTGGAGGGTGGAAATATTTCCGGCGTTGGCTTTACGACTGCACCCTTCTGCGCCTAGTGGTTGCTCCCTTTTGGGTTCCTTATCAGGGCACCATGCTAATATATGCCCTGCAGTGCCACACTTCAGGCACGGGTGATTGTCCATCCTCTCCTGCCAGGTGTCCTCGGAAATGCTAATTTTCAGCCAAAGCTTTCCAACACCTATGCCAGGATGAGCTGGAAAGGAACACGGTCTTCTCCTATATCCATTTCAATTCATGTTATTGTTGTCACCCTTGTTGACAATTGCGGTGGTAAGTCGGTGACATCAACCTTTCTCAATTCGCCGCCCGCACTTACTTGTCCCCCGCTTCCTTCGAGGGGCCACGTGTCCATTGTGTCGTCGTCCAACACAACGAGCTTGTGGTCTTGTATTTTCTGCCTCCACAAAACTCTTTTCCCCGCTTGTTTCCACTTCCTTCCTTTTTTCCTCTTCTTCAATGTGCTGAACATTTATGGCCAGCATTTCAGCGACGAATTTTAGTCCAGATTGTGACGGGCCCGGACTAGAACCAGGTTCATTTTTCCTGCCTCACGGAGGAGCTCAACTCCCGTCGCAGCCTGGTCCAACAGACTCCAACTGTTCCACGAAACTGCACAGATCAAACTGGCTCGGGACGTGGACTTCTTCATCCGGGCCAGCCTCATGGATTTCCGTCAGGGCCTGCTGCAATTTCAGCTTTTCTTGGTCCCTATAGGTTCACTTACCCTCATGTACGCAGTTCTTTGTCTGCATACAGCGTCGGTGAGGCAGGGTGGAAAAATCAAGGGAATAAACTTTGTCAGACCAGACAGCCGCAAGCTGTTCCACAAGGAAACCATCCTTGGAGTTACTGCACAATCAGACTAGTATACAATTATTTGTTCCGCGGTCTCGTCAGAAATTCAGAACAACAAAAAGAAAATAAATAAAATCCAAAGAATAAATATCAATGTCTTAATCTATCATTTCCCTTTCATTGTGCTTTGCTGCTTTCTATTCTATTTACAATGTGTGTGGATTCCTTCTGGTCGTGCTATCAGGAATCATCAACAGCGAGTCCAGAGGCCAAACAACATCAAGAAACCGCACAGGCAAGTCCACATCAGCATCAATCAACACACCAACGAGGTCAGTCAAGGACTCGCTCATATCAACGCTCAACGGGTCACATCATCCCGTTGTTCTTGTGGTTCCTCATCAGACTATCTTCAACAACCGGAGCGGTTCTCTCTTCAGTATGCCACGAAGGCGACGCTTTCACTGGTATGCCACGTGGTCCAGTGTTATCGCCAGTATGCCACGTAGGCGATGCTATCACCAATATGCCACGTGGACAATGCTCTTGCCAGTAAGCCACGTAGGCAATGCTATCGCCAGTATGCCACGTCAGCGCTGGTTCTGTCATCCTCTTCAGTGCTCTTCAACCAGCACAGCATCTACTGGCGATTTATTCCCTCTTGGGAAGTTGCCGGGAACCAACCAGTGAGTGCCACGTCAGCACACGCCTATGGTATGAACCACTCTGCCTTTGCACGTCAGCACCCCTTTCAGAGAGAGACTATCTTGGCGATTTATGCCCTTCTGAGAACCAACCAATGAGTGCCACGAGGACACGAGCATATGGTTACAACCACTCTGCAAGTGCCACGTCAGCACTCTATCCGAGAGATATCTTCAAGTTCTATCGCGCGGTTGTCTTCAATCGAGCAGCAAGTTGACAGTATGAGGTGAGTTCGCTCCGACACGAAATTGTAATGAACCCAGTCTCGTCATCCAATCATGTTGCAGATAACAATGTCGTGCAGTGTCGTGAAATAATCGATCCAATAAGTCCATCAGTTCAAACTTCAAAGTCATTGAAGTACATGTTTCCTCATTACCACGTGTAAAGTCTCAAAGTCCACAGTATCCAGAAGAGAGAGGAGGGGAGAATAGACAATTGGAAGGAGAAGTGTAACACAGCAATTAAGCCCCTCTTCTCCTTCAGGCTCCCCACGTCTGCCACATCAGCAATCTGCACTCAATGTGCCACATCATCATTCAGCACTCAATGTGCCACGTCGGCAATCTGAACTCAAGGAGACACGTGGAGGATTGTGGAAGCAGCCCTCGCAGATAAACGATCCTCCAACAGCGAACAGAATCGGCAGCCGTTTCACATCTAAAGAAACAAGGTACGCACGCAGGACAACTCACATCACCCACACACTCTCTCTCCCTCTCATTCTCTCATTGTCATCTATGGTCGCGGCCGTGGCCTCCCTCTCCTTCTCTCTAAACTATGATATCTGGCTGGCGGCCATGAAGCAGCCTGGAGCCAGCACTCCCTCTCAAGTCTCACGTGCAGCGTCGTAGCCACAAGCAACTCGCAAGACTGAATGTCCAAGCAGAGGCAAGGTCATCTTAATATTGTGTTGACTCACCTGTCCACGGTCAGTGTCAGTCCATGTGAGGGCGCGGATCTTCCAATGTGTCCCAGTTTTGGTCTGGACTCCTTGAGGCCTGAATCTTCCGGAACCTGCAGACCACTGTTAGATCATTCCAGATCGATGGCCAATGCTGACTTCGACTTCTCGGATCTGGCCCGGGGTCCACGAGCTGACTGTTGACTTTCTGGTCAACTGTCGGCCTGGGCCTTTTCTGAGGCCTGTTTGACACCTCTATGAGCTGACTGTTGACTTTCTGGTCAACTGTTGGCCTGGGCCTTTTCTGAGGCCTGTTTGACACCTCTATTTTCAGGTCCGCCCGTTCATGCTTCTCTGTGGGCGCGGCGAGGACCCAGCGGCTCAATTTGGCACACGAGTTACAGCATGTGTGTCATCTGGGAGTGTTATGCGTTCGAGACGGAACGCTGTGCACCATGTTTACCATACCAGCAATCAGGAAAAAATGAAAAAAAATAAACAAATTCTCTTGACCACATTCACGGCCGCGCACATTGGACTTCAATCACGTCCAGAGCTGAGTCGAAAAAGCAGTAAGGTGAGTACCCCCTGATTTGCTAAAGGCATCTTGTGAAGAGCGAGAGACAAACTGGCACGAACATGAGATAGTGAAAACTCACGTGAAAAAGAGAGAAACCAAACCACTAGAGCCAAAGCCAAGAGAAAACACTCAAATGCACACTGAAATCAGCTTGTGAAACAGCTAGGGTCACTGTAGCGTGCTTAAGAGGCTAACAACAACTTAATAGGGCTGTGCCCTCGTGAACATCTCAGATGTATATGGGGCGCTGGATCCCATTAAACCCATTTCCAGCAGGTGACAGTCCCCGCCAATAGACTGGAGTCCCAAACCAAGGTGTTAGTAGGAGTGGGTGCTCATATCACCATTCCTATCACCCCTGGAGGCAGTGGAGAGGTGTTCTTTAGAAAAAAAAAAGAAAAAAAGCTCGTGAAACCAAGATCCATCTGACAGCTGGTAGACCATAAAGAAGTTTGTATGCGCAAAAAGAAAGAATGTCCATTTTTATGTCACCATATTACTTAGATAGAACTCCCCCCTATGTCGAAGTGGACCAGTGAGCAAAGCTCTTGTTCGAATATCTATTGCCACAATGCACAATTGTGCTGCCGAAATCAGCCACTACAAACTCAAGTCTCTTGATTGGCAATGATTGCTGGTAATATCGCCCATTTGTTCGATGACATTGTCCTGTTTACATCCCCATGTGCTACATCTCCTAAGTACTGATCCTACTATTGAAAGGATCTGCATCTGTTTGCTGGCATGTCCTCCTGTTGCATGCTGAGCCCACCACACGGGCCCTGTCTTGGGGACCTGAAGGTCGTTGAAGGCCCCCAGGCCGTGCGCCAACCTTCGTGCACCACCTGGAGGTTCACAGCCACCCTAGGAGGCCAGGCACATTTCCCATGCCACGCAGGTTCAGTTTTGACTCTTGAGGCAGCATTCATTTAATTATTTCTTTTATTTTGTTGTTGTTTGCTGACTCCCTTGTCTGCTGTATTTTTGTCTGTTCCAGTGCGTCGGTTCGAACTTGGCAGTCTGTCCAAACTGACTATTGTCTGTTCGGACCAGGACCACGTTTGGCACCTCTGAGAGGCCAGGTTCGGGCCTGGGCCGTTTTTGGCCAGGTTTGGAGTCGTCAGGTAGTGGACTTCTCCTGCTGCATGAGCAGCAGAGCCTGGATGTCCGGTAGAGACCCAGGCGGACCGTTTTTAGGCCTAAAACCAGGAGCGGAACTTTTGCCTGCAACCTGGACTGTCGATCGGATTCACGATCACACGGCCCTGGTTGCAGACGACGGACACACCAGCCAGGCCCAGCACTATAGATAGCTGGGCCAGTCCATGATGTAAAAGTTGGAGCAGCGCGCTATTTTCAGCGCTGCCGCCGCTGTGTTACTGTAGAGGTAGAGGTAGAGGTGTAGGAGTAGGAGAGGTGAGGGAGAGGTGGTGGCCATACCTGCAAGGTGCAGACAGCTTACCTGGGTGCCATAGCTGGTTCCTTCGCTAACGACCTGCGGCACAGAGAGGCACGCCGGCTTGTTAGTTCATGGCGGCAGTTACCTGCAGGTGAGACAGTGGAGCGGTCGACATCTTCTTCTTCTTCCTGTTCTCGCCCTCCATACCTTCTTCTTCTTCTTCTTCTTTCAGAGAGAGAGAGAGAGAGAGAGAGAGAGAGAGAGAGAGAGAGAGAGAGAGAGAGAGAGGTTGCAGGCAGAGGTTATGTAGGGCTATGGGGCCCAGGATCTGATTGTACATCTCAGGGGCAGACATTGATTGGACATTCGACTGAGAGACTATTTTAGGGCTGCGCTGTTGCGATCTTCATCTTCTGCCTCATCTCCGTCTTTGTCTTGCTCTTTCTCCATCCCCTCATCTGCGGTTCTCCCAATGTGCGTGTTCAAGGAGGGTTCTTTCTTCCATGTATGAGGTCCCTGCCTTCTCTCTCACATCTGTGGTGTATGTTGCACCGGGTCGCGTCAGTGTCTGACAGGTCAGGACATATCTCTGAGCCTTCCTCTGTGCCACATTGTGCTATTTTTGCAATTATATGGATGCACATTGCTTGTTGACGCTTCGCTGATGCTGCATTTAATTTGTCCATTTGAGTCCTTGTCATCACTTTGCTGATCCCTTGGCTCCAGTTGCATCGCTCAGATTGTACCGAGGATGCATCATCTCCTGAGTCCAGTTTCCCAACTTGTCTCTGAAAGTGCATCCTCTTATAAACCGCCGCAGCCACGAAACGAATCCTCATCCAACTATATTACATTTTCCTCCTTTCTTGGTTACACCCTCCCGGGATTTCTACAGTAGCTATCATAACTATCACCTACTCGCTATTTACACTCATCACTGTTGGTACACCTACAGGCTAGTAAGAGGCTACAACTTCAATCTTCAACTTTCCATCAATGTTTGTAGACAGCCACCTTAAAGTTTACAAATCGATCTTTACGCATGAGAAATTCAATCTCATTTTGTATACACCTGAAACTCATGTCTTTAAAAAAAAAAAAAAAAAAAAAAAAAAAAAAAAAAAAAAACTCATGTCTTCACAACCAAAGCTGCAACAAAACTTCTCCTCATCCAAGTTCATTTCCTACGGTGATCTTGGTTTTATTAAGTTTAAATTTACCCTTGCCGCAGGATTGGTACAATAGCCTAGGTATATACTATACACACATGAGAAATTCAATTTGCATCTGGCTTCGCAAACAGCCATTATAGTAGGGTGTACTCAGACTGGTATGGCTTCTTTAACTAAGCCCTGGACGTTATTGCTGTCAAATTCATCGGTGCGGGTCCGTAATTGTGGTCAGATGCATTGAGGAAACTGTCAGTGTGAGTATGCCATTAGTCACTGTCACTAACGGACAAATCTACAATCTGAAATTGGAGAGGACAGTGGTGTGAGAGATGTGCCCCGTTGCTGTTTCCTGTCACTCTGAGGGCAGCATTGATTTACTGATTCTTGTCTACAGTGTTGTCTCCCTACATGTAAAGGAAGAGTCAGGGCAGCTTATATATATCCCTCACTGGCCTATATGAGCTTATACAGGTATATATGTGTCAGATTGTGTCTTGTATCAAATTGTGCATGCCATGGTTCACATTCACACAGAATGTGTGAGAAAATAGCACGCATGTGAGAACCACAGAGGATTGATAGGAATGCACAATGTCATCCTCTCTCTCTCTCTCTCTCTCTCTCTCTCTCTCTCTCTCTCTCTCTCTCTCTCTCTCTCTCTCTCTGTGGACTGCATTTATGTCTGCCTTGCATCCCACTCTGCTGGAAACTGTTCGAAATCTGCTGCAATTTTTTGACAGGAAAATACGTTGAAAAGGTCATGAATGTATCTTTTCACCTGGTATTCGGACTAAGTGTGGGTAAGGTTTTTGAGAAGGGCGTGATCCGTGGCAATGCTGATAGTAAATTCGAAGAAGAACAACTGCTGCGACTGCTGCAACTAGAATAGCAGCTAGCGGTATTACCACTTTAGCCCATAGTTTCAGACCACCTCCACCTCCACCTCCACCCTCACCTCCACCTCCACCTCCCCCTCCATCTCCACCTCCATCTCCATCTCCACCTCCACCTCCACCTCCACCTCCACAGCCCCCACAGTTTCCACAGCACTTGACACACCTATTAGGCTGGTCATCTGTGCTTTCCCGTATCACATGCTCCTTTTTTACAGCAAATTGCTCCGCACGGGTGTCACAGCTGATGTTACCGAAGCCGTCATAGCATGGCCATGTGTCCGAAGAGCAGTCCGGCAATTTTAGTGTATCCTGCCACATCAGCAATAGTACCAATAGCATGACATCATCAAATTTAAAACTCCACAGGAATCCAAAAGAAATAAAAGTAAGCGGAAACTACTTGAGAGTCACAGAAATGAATTATAATTGCACTACGGGCCAAGCAGTGCCCTACCCCAGTTCACCGTTCAACATGACCTGTTGGAGCTCACGGAGTTCCGGTTTTTTTTTTTTTTTGGCTGGTAGGGGGGKGTTTTTTTTGCACAGGTTTGTGGTTTATGTAGAAGAGCACCTGCCCATAAATACATATATATATTTTCTCAATCGAAATTTATTTATTTTTTATTTATTGAAAAACAAATTAATAAATTTAAAAAAATGGAGTTCAGCTGTGTTAGGCATAGCTCTCGTCGGCCATGTGGGGCATTCTGAGGGTTTTTTGGGCCCCGAAAAAAAAAACATTGATGACACTACGATGTATTCCCCTAGGCCGTGGCCGCCGCCGCCGAGTTTGCACCTGGCCGTGCCACGGCCAGGCGGTGGCGCGCGCCGGAAACAGCGCACACGTCAGCGGCTATAGGCCTACACACCTGTCTCTTATACACATCTAGATGTGTATAAGAGACAGGAAGTTGTTCCAATATCTCTGAGTCAAAGGCGGGTAATGGCCCCGGTATCTTAACTTTCAAAAGAAAAAAGAAAAAAAAATCTGGAAAACAAATATGTTGTGTAGAATTGTAATACAAACTGGCTGAGGGTCACATCAGAATTCCTCACGGAACTGAAGATAAAAAAAGTCAAAAAAACTTAAAAAAGAAAATAACCAAATGTGAGGATTGAGCCCTCAAAGGGGCCTTGCCGTGATGTACATGTTCTGGGCTAAGGCCCCCAGCAAGCCTCGTGCCCGCCCTAAGTGAAGGCGGGCCAGCAAACCAACGAGAGCCCCGTAGTTCAACATTTCACGAAGTGGGGTCCATACAGTTGGGGCACGCCAGATTGGTTGGAGTGCACCAAGACCCGGATCTCTGCAAATGCAGAAGGACCAGGGCCCCAGAGTTGGTTAGGCCCTGGGCACATAAACGTGAGGCCGACATTGCATGCTGGAAAAAGAGGTCGAAAATGCCAATGGGAAACCAGTCCACTATCTGAATCTGGACGCAGGCGTGGATGAAAGAGGCGCAACTGTATTTCGTGGGCCCCAACCACATTGGGCCTGGGTACAGGTATTGGGGCCCAGGCACAGGCTCGAGGGAGGCCGCCCACACGCAACACTGGCGTATAGGCAGAGAGGGCGAGTGGGCAGGGATCTTGGCCATTGCGAGCAAGGCCGGCACGCTGCTGCATTGCGAGTGTGCTGCGCTGCGCTAGGCTGAGTGAAGGCAGGTTGGCGCTAAGCGGTAGAGCGCAGCCTGGGTGCAGGGCGCTGGCGGCCATAGCCGGGCTGCCTGAGGGCGCAGAGAAGGTGAAGGGCGAAGGTGGTTCTTCGGAAGGTGAAGGGCGCTGTGTGGGATAACATGGGAGAGTGAGGGTGAAGAGAGAGACGTACCGGGTGGAGAGGAGGTCGACATTGGTGTTGACGTCATCACTCGCTGGTCGTCAAGTTGTCTGGTTGCTTCCATGCTGTAGTTGTAGTGATAGGCTGTAGAGTAGGTAGGGAGCCTGGCGCCATTCAAGAGAGAGAGCTACATTGGGTTACGCTGTTGGTGTTGCCCGATTGGGCTTGGACATTGACTCACGATTCTTCTGTATCGTTCTCAAATGGATGGTTACTCGGTTCCATTGTGCTATCTGCTCTTGCTTTGACTACTTGGACTCCAGTGTGATTTTGCAATTTGGATTTCTGTGCTTCGTCCACATTCATGTTCCTTGCACAAATCACACTAAGGCACCCCCCTTTAAACCCCTTTAGCCTCTTTAAAATTCATTAATACCCCCCTTACCCCCCCTTGACAGCCAATACTCAAAAAAAGAAACGAGCCCAGATTTGGGCTCCTCTCGGAGAGCGCGGAAGACCCCAACCGCCTTTTTTTTTTTTTTTTTGCCATGCCCGGGTATCCCGGGCGTCACGCCTGGGTGACCGGCCGGTCATGAGAATCTTCCTAGAAAAATTGGGGGGGTGGTTTCTGATGTGTGACAAAAAAAAAAATTAAAATAGAAAAAAATAAGGGGCAACGGCTCGTGGGTCACAACCCACGTTTCGAATGGGCAAAAAAAACAGTTGTCCGCAGGTCCTTCCGGACCGTAGTTCAAAACGGCAATAATAGCAGTGCCCTGCGTTATACACATGGTGCCTGTTCGAAACAGGCACTTTTGTCTTCTTCTTTTTTTTTTCTTTTTTCTTTTCCCGGTCGTGCCTCACCACAGCTGCAATTTTTTTTTTTTTTTTTTTTTTAATCCGTCATATGGTCGCCCGCGCAGTGGCTGCAATCTGGGGTGTGGCTCTCGGCCGTGGCCAATATTGGGTGTGGCAGAGACATCTCGGCCGTGGGCAATCTGGGGTGTGGCCAAGACATCTCGGCCGTGGTCAATCTGGGGTGCCGCCGAGACATCGCGGACATCTCGGACGTGGCCAATACCGGGTGTGGCCAAGACATCTCAGCCATGGCCAATCTGGGGTGTGGCCGAGACATCTCGGCTGTGGCCAATCTGGGGTGTGGCCAAGACATCTCGGCCGTGGCCCAACCATGGGGCCGAAACACCACCTTTTTTTTTTTTCCCCAGCTGCAGCACAGCACGGCACGGCGGGATTCTGGCCAGATGCATTCCTGGAGGCACTGCTGTGAACACCCTGCTCGCGGCTACCCCCCCCCCCGACCTGCTTTTCAACTTCGTTTATTTTTTTTTTTGTTTTTGGCAAGTGTCAGCTGTCCGTTTTTTTTTTTGTCGTCTGCCGGTCTGTTCTCCGTGGAAAACGCCCTGCTCGTTGGCAGGGCACGATATCAAGTGTCAGTAGCAAAAAAAAAAAAAAAAGCACAACAAGGAACGAATCGAGCTAGTATTCTTGGCAGATGCATTCGTGGAAGCAGCACTGTTAGGGCCTCGCTGCACTACTCTCGAAATGTGCAAAACCAGAGCGAATCTTCCACTAGAATATGGAAAGATACATGGCCATGATTTTTGTCTGTTGTGCATGTAGAGAGTAGTGCAGCGACGCCCTTAGAATTGTTTTTTGCCTATTTGAACTTCGACGACGAGGACATTGCCATTTAGTGTTTCTTTTGCCGACGAGGACATTGCCATTTAGTGTCTTTTTTGCCGTTTTGAACAAAAAGTACGACCCAGGAGCAGTTTCCCCAAAAACTAAATATTGGTTGATTGATTGTTTTTCTATTAACTGGTTGATTGATTGATTGATTGATTGAATGATTGGTTGATTGATTGATTGATTGTCAATGATTCATTGATTGATTGATTCGTGGGGCAGGGGTCCTCCCTCCCCTCCCCCCGGCACGCGGGCACACACACACACACTCACACACTCACACACACACACACAAATGGCAAGCCCGGGCGAGCGAAGGCGAAGGCGCTGTCGCACACACTCACACACACACACACAAATGGCAAGCCGGGGCGAGCGAAGGCGAAGGCGCGACAGCGGGTGGGCGCAAGTGGCGGTGTATATTTCCATTTTCTAGCGGGAGATTCATTCGATTTTGCTCCTCCTCGGTGGAAGTACCATGAGGCCAGCCGCGAGATTGGAAACTTACCTGTTCTCTCTCTCTCTCTCTCTCTCTCTC